AAATGGTCTACCTCAAGGCTCGGTACTTAGTGTTATTCTATTTTTGCTAGCTATTAACGACATTCTTCCACTTATTGATAAACCGGTCAAAGCGTTTCTTTTCGCTGATGACCTAACACTAACTTGTAGCGGTAGATCGTTGCAACCAACATTAAAACTTATACAGAATACACTGGGAGTCCTTGAGGAATGGTCAAAGAAATCAGGCTTTAAATTTTCAAAAACTAAATCAGAATTCATGGTCATGTCTAGTAAAAGAATTAAATCAAAAAATGCACAGCTGACTTTAAATGAACACAATATTAAAGAAGTTAACAAAATGAAAATTCTAGGATTAACATTCGATAGAAAGATGTCATGGGTTCCACACATAAATGAACTTAAATCTGAGTGCTATAAAAGGTTAAATGTTATTAAAATTCTGTCGTCGACATCATGGGGATCTCACAGAAAATGTCTTATAAACACATATCGTGCTTTGATAAGACAAAAAATAGATTATGGATGCGTAGTTTATGACTCAGCAAAAAAACGAACACTCAATTCTCTCGAAAGCATTCAAAATACTGCCCTTAGATTGAGTATTGGTGCATTTAAAACAAGTCCGATTAATAGTATTTTAGCTGAAGCTGGAGAAATGCCCTTAGAATTTAGAAGGAAGGAAATGGTTATAAGATATGTTATTAATATATCATCTCAACCTGAAAACCCAACTTATTATATTTACACTAAAATAACAGCTGCAGACACGGAATATGAACTTCGATCCCATTTACCGCGACCCTTCAGAATAAGAGCAACTAAATATTTAAAGGAAATTAATTTCAAGATTCCAAATTTTTTTACGAAGAAATTGCTTTCGATTGGTCCATGGGAAAGCTTAGATTGGCCCATCAACCTCGAATTATCAAAAAACCACAAGGAAGATACTCCTCAATACATGTACAAAACCCTATTCTTAGAAATTAATAGTAGGTACACAGATTGTAAGATTTTTTATACGGACGGGTCAGTTAAGGACGGAAAATCAGGATGTTCAATAGTATATGGGAATAATTGTTACCGTTATAGACTTGGAGATTTTAATACAATTTTTAGTTGCGAAGCAATAGCAATCCTTAAAGCCTTGGAACTAATAAGTAGTGATATTAATACAGATAAATATATAATATATACTGACTCTAAATCATGCTTAACAGCGTTACAAAGTACAAATAACACAAATACCCTAGTTACAGAAATTAAACAAAAAATTATAAACCTACTTAAAAATAACTACAAATTTGAAATTATTTGGATTCCAAGTCATCAAGGGATAGTTGGTAATGAAAAAGCAGATCATGAAGCGAGGCAAGCAATAAATGAAATCGAAAATTGGCATACAAATAAATCAACTCCAGACGAACTACAAAAATACCTCAAACATAAAATTAAATTTACTTGGGATGAGTATTGGAAAACAGAAAATACATCAAAGTTATATAGTATAAGGAAGTCTATTTTTAATAAATCCCCCAATAATTTTACTTGTAGAAAAGATCAAGTGATCATCACCCGTCTACGTATCGGACACTCAAATATGACACATATTCATCTAATTACTAAAACCGAAAGAAATAAATGCAAGTGTGGACTAGATTTGACTGTTAAGCATTTATTAGAGGAATGCACAGCTTATTGTAGCGAGAAAAAGTTATGTAATATGCCAAATAATTTACAAGACTGTTTAAATAAAAAAGGATGTATGCAAACTTTAAGTTTTCTGAAAATGATCAATGTCTATAACCTAGTGTAAACTACAGTGTGATTATATATGTATACCTATTGTCAATTGTGGTCGCTAATGACCTGAGATGTTAAAAAGCGACCTTAAATAAATAAATAAAAAAAAAATAAAAAACATTTCGTAATATTGTATAACGCAGTCATACTTTGAATACAGTTGTTTCATCTGATTATTATACGTATACTACAGAAGATACGCGTCGAGCGAGCGCGTAGGTACACGCGCGATCGTTTTCGATGTGAGGGGAGCGGGCAGGGGAGCGCGGGTGAATTCTTAAATTTTGCTGGCTTTATACGCGCTCTTAACAACAACTTATACCAATGCTGCAATGGCCTGTGACGCCACTCGACTCGCCATCTAGGAGGGTAAATAATAAAAAGGAAACTTTCATAAAATGAACTTTAATTCATTGGGTTAATAATACAATGTGATTTATTCATCTTAAAATTAAAGTAAAATTGGTATCAGCCCCTTAATCTACGCAAGAAAATACAAAGTTGAAAACCTATAAAAATATTTTTATACTGGTAATACGATTCGATAAGTAATCACAATTTTGTACTTAATCATTACGTCATAATATACGGTAATTTTGTATAATTTCATTAGTATATACCTATATATTACCAAGACAGCAAGTATAGCTGCCAAAAGCCAGGTATAATACAATTTCCTGCGCATTATTAATAATTTAGATATTTTTACTCTGGCAACAATAAACCTAGTAAAACGGTTGCATGCAAAACAAGATAGCGGCCCGTTTAAATCATTACATTTATATACTAATCGGTAACATAATTGCATATAAGCGTGCAAATAATTAGCTTCTAAAGACCTTAAAAACATAATTTAAAATTTAGTACCAAACGATACATTAACAGCAATAAGCCTGCATTCAATTGTACCTAGTAATGAAATAATATTTTAAGACTGTCGTGAGAATCTCAAGAAAAAAATGGCGAAAAAGTTTTTGAAATGCACATAAGTCTTTGATAATGATTTTAATCTAAATCATAAGTACACAAAATTGTTGTTCGCGATCTCAAACAACAGTGCTGCCATCTACAAGTCTACGTAGTAAAAATTATTTTAATTGATTCGATTCAACTTCTGCTACATAAACTTTCGTCGACTCTTCCATAGAATTGTGGAGAGTACATTCGTGACGATTTGAACGTAACTGACAGTAGACAATGAATATTACATCAACACAGGAGACTGAACTTTTGATGCCTCGTATACCAAATAATATTTTAGATCTGATTGCCATAAGTCTCCAATGTTGGCTAACACTCTTGATCATTGATTATTAACAAGATTAAAATTCCATTCATATTTATAAAACTATTAAAACAAATAATTTATAAATATTTACTTATTCATAAAAATACCATCATTATTTGAGATCGCGAATTGACAGTTGAATTAAAAAGACATTGAAACTGATATTTAAGACGGCGCCATATATCTTTGGACATAAATTTTAAAGATTCAAGCTAAAGATAAATAATTTTTAATTTTTAATACATATATTATCCATATTTCATTTTTATAATTATTTGCAAGCATACTTTTTTTAATTTATTGTACTGGCAATCACAAATACTGAATTAAGTAAAACATATTTTATATGAAGAATGGTTCGTTTTTCTTCTTTACCGGAAACCAAACTAAATATTTAGTAACCGAAATTCAAAGGTTACTTGGATTTCTTATTCATTTAACTCAATATCTATGCTTGGTTTAAAAACATCATACTCTCAAAAGTACATATAATCAAGCAAGAATTTCTCTACTAAATACCACACCATTCCGATAGCATTTTTTAATAATCAGTCTTTTAAAAGGCACCGATTTTAACTGTTTTGTTTTTGTAATAAATATGGTTATAATAATGAATAAACTTGGCACGTTAATATTATTCACAATTGCGGCAACATACATGCGATGAATACTTTGAAAATAGAATTATATATTTTTTAAGCTACAGTCATTGCCTATGCCCTGACATTTCCATAAAATGCATTTGTTGCACGCTTTAAGTTTAATACAGATTAATATAAGTATAAAAATCGATACATTTCATTCTTTTAAAACTCTTTTTACATACATTTATATGTATAGGTAAAATACTGTGTCATTCATGTATAATATATATTTAAAAACTTTGCGTATACTTGATACAAGATATAAAAAAATATTGACACGATTTAAATTGTCCTTTTGCTGTTTTTTTATTTTTTTTGGGTACTTCGATACGAGTACACCATACATGTTGTATATTCAATTAAAAACATTACTATTAAAAGGATAGTTTTTTTTTGTGTGAAAACGCTATAGATTATACTAGAAATGATTCGGTCAAACTCTATTAGGTGGGGTTGACACAGTAAATATTTAAGATCTCATTTTTGCCCTGGCAATTCCACTGCTAAATACATTTATTCATTCTGATATACTTCTACTTAAATAGTAATTGACGGATTTTTATGAAGCTACAACTTAAAATCTATGGTATTGATGATTCTGTTTTTATTATTCTATAGTCTATTACTTCAATAAGTACCGTTTTAATTGACTTTAATATATTTGTGACTTATGGGGGTGTAGGGGGAAATATAGGGAAGGGAAGGGGTGAAGGAGTTTTATATATATTTTTGCCTCAATTTAAAATATCCAGTCACTTCAATTCCTTAGAAATATATTCCAGAAACATCTGGCTATGAAGATAAAAATACGCTGCACTATCTCCGCGCCTTTCTATACATAGTTGCTCATTTCGGCACAATCTACCCACCTATTGTCATCATCAATAACTTGTAGCTGCGGTACAAGGTCGGTTCATTAAGCAAGACGGAACATAATCCATTAGCAGACTGAGTCATTTTGACCCAATATAAAGACGTAACGCCGTACACGCATCTTTAGCTTGACGTCGATTTAAAAAAAAAATTGTCAAATCGTCATATTCCACCACTGTCACAGCGATTTAAATACATAACAAAATAGACATTTCAAATTATAATCACAGTGATTTTAATTGGGTCAAACCGACTTATGAAAATGGGGTCAAAATTACCCCGAAAATGTAAAAGTGGGACAAAATGACCCTTGATTTTTACAACATATTAACTGTGGGATATATTCGTTCCCCTTTGAATAGTTACGCTCGTTAAGTCCTATGAAAGTATTTACTCGTTTTTCTCTTCATATTTCACTCGAGGTACTCTGTGTAACCCTGCGCTCCTGTGAAGATGACGTCTATCCAGATCCTGGCTGCTTCTCCCGATGGTGCCATGAGGTAGTAGCGACGTTGTCTGGTCTTCACTATGAAGGTAGTAAGGGGGTTCGGCGATTTCGAAGTGTTGCCATGGTCTAGATAAACTTCTTCTATAACCTGCACACAAAGGTTTGGATTAGGATTGGACTTAAATTATATTGAATAAACTTCTTGTTTGACATTATAGTGTTTTATTTTTTTATTTAGCAAACACAAATAAAAATGCTTTTCTTTTTCTATTGTAAATTATACCAATAGTAACCAAAAGTGACTAAAAATGTATACTAAACTAAACTAGTGTTTGTCACTGCCACTGCTGGACATACCCTGTCTCACTTTGCACGCCACTTAGATAGATTTAGGGCATAATAATACCCATTAAAGATTGTACCGACACTAGCCACTGAACCCAATGATACTTGTAAAGACAGACCTTCGTTGCTAAACTGTACTAATATTATTTTTAAAGAAAGACAAATAGAAATACTTAATTTTAAAAAGCTGAAGAGTTTGTTTGGTTTCCCTGCGATTTCGGTTCGAACTGAAAAATTCTTTCAGTATTGGATTACATAAACAGCCTTTAATAGTCCACTGCTGGACATAGGCCTCTCCTTTGGAAGGAGGTTTTGGTCTACTATACCACGCTGGCCATACGGGTTGGTATAGGGTTTGTGTCAAGTTTTCCTTCTTTTTGCAGTGCTGGTGTCCTGCGTTGTTTTGCGCCATTAGTCGGCTCTTACGACACTCACAGGGTGAATTGGGGTAGTGACATTCTGTATTCTTAATCCGTATCTGCACGGACCCGGAGTATTGGATAGCCAATACATAATATAGCATCACAAAAAAATGTACAGAAACAGAGAAAATTCGTTGCTTTTGAGATATGCAGACCATTTGTGCGGATCAGCTAGTTGTCAATAAAGAACAGATTCCCTCTTTGTATATCATGACTGTGAGGTACACTTACTTGGAAGTAGGCTCCTCCTCTGGGTTTCTTCTCACTCTTGTCCCAGTAGTAGACGAACGTTTTCGTTTCTCTATCGAAAACGAACCACCTGAAAATATGATGCACATTTAGAAATGCAACATACAAGTCTCTTTTAATCCTATTCTACCAGTAATTGAAATTTTGGTAGAGGAAATGAAATGCTGGCGATTTTTTCTATCGGTTCTGACTATAATACGACCCTGACCTGCTATTCTTTACACTCTGCTAGGCATGGGATAAAATCACAATCACCTGTGATTAATGACATAATTTTAAAATCATTTCAACACACGTGTAACTCATCTACAACATCACTGCGACTTATTATTATAAAAAAAGTCGTTTTTATTGGTTTGATGACATAAATCTTTGTCTACACACAAATCTGGGTAGTAATTTATCACAGTTGAAATCACAGTGACCAAAACCAATCATTTCAACAAATGAATATTATTAAAAAGAAAAATTTCATTGTTAATCTTTCAATCCATTTGCATATGCAAACCGTCTTTCTTCCCCGTCTTTTAGCGCGGGAGAGCTATCCTTCGCCACAAATGGGCCATCTCCACTGAAGTTACACCACTCACAGGAAACTGGTTTAAGTAATTCGTTCGTTACTTTTAACAGTTGTGATTTGGTTAGATTACTAGAGGGATAACTCTCTTTTTACCCTAATTATGGAGGACGGGCGCATAAAAGTGGCAACGGACCCTATATGTCTTGAGTTCTAAGTGTTCACGGGCGCGGTACCTCACTTCCATCAGGTGACCTGTCTGCTCGTCTGCCCCCCTACCCCTTCCGAGATAAATGATATTTATTTCTGTAAGTAAATCTTTTCAGATATTTTACAAGTCGGACTTTACAGCTAGATGGAGCCGACATTTCCTAAGACTCACTCTGGGAAGAAACTCCGAAACAAACCACAGAGGTGTCTCTTTTTAGTTCGTAAACAAAGTTAAAGAAAACTGTGCCAGTACAGTGTAGGGTTTGGGTAGGCCTTTTGAAGAAAGGACCATAGTTTTGAGTCAGCCTGTGTGAAACTATTTGAATGTGAGAGTTTACCTTTTGGACCATGTGTGGAACTTGGCGCCGAGCTTGTGCAGATACCCGCGGCACGACGTTGGTGTCACTGATACGTAGGGGCACACCTCTACCTGGTGACCTGGAATAATAGCAAAAGAAAAATATATACATTTACTGTGTTTGGTTACCCCCCCTCTTCATCGCAAAAGTTACAACTAGGGAATGATGTAACCTTTGCGCGGAAGAACTTAGGTATTTGGAGTTAAATATTTTTAGTTTATGTATGTATTTAGTTTATGTATGTTTTTAGTTTTTTTTTTGTCCGTGTGGGGACGGATTAAGAATACGGATTGTCACCACCCCCATTCATCCCGTCGTAAGAGCCGACTAAGGGAGCAAACTGTGCAGGACAACAAAACTGCAAAGAGAAGGATAACTTGACACAAACCCTATACCAATCCGTCTGGCCAGCGTGGTATAGTAGGCCAAAACCTCCTTTCTAAGGAGAGGCCTATGTCCAACAGTGGACTGTTAAAGGCTGTTGATGAAATATTTTTGGCCGTAGGCTCTCGACAAAATTGCTTTTGACTGAAATTAAAGTCATAAGTCGTTTTTTCAGCTAATAGAGCTGGTATAAAGTATCTTTGGGTTACATATTTAAACTCCAATCAGTTAAAAAGTATTTGCGCTTTAGTGATTAAAGTAGTTTTGACTATCAGTAAACTACTTGGCTCATATTCTTTACGTTCTAACTAAATCGCTCATTTTCTTTACGTTTTCACTGTCATGCATATAGGAGATTTAAAGTTTTGCAGAGTTTGTTTTTACCTCTTAACGAAAAAAAACTATTTTTTTTATTTTCGTGGGATGTTTTCTTACTTGTTTGTTGGTTTTGTCGTTACACCTAATTTTACATTTTCGCAAATTGTGCGGCAAGTTACTATTATTTCGCGACGAAATTTTTTTTAACGAATAAACAGTATTAAAAGAAATAATTGAAGCCCCGAACAGACTTTCTACGAGTCACACATTTTTTTAGATAAAAGCCTGATTTTCTCGTGAAGTTTTTCTGAACTATCTTTTCGTGAACTGTTCTATTTTTTTCCAATAACGATTTTTTTTAAACTCATAATTTTACCCGAATTTTCACGTTGAGAAACCAGTCAGTTTATTTTTTTTCGATTTGAACTTTCTCAGCCTGTACAATACTTATAAATGTAAAAGTAAGTTTGTCTGTTTATTATGCTTTTATGCCTAAATCACTAAAGCGATTTTAATTATTCTTTCACCAATGGAAAGCTACATTATCAGCGAGTAACACAGGCTACTTTTTTACGATAACCGACATACGGTGAGCCGCGGGCAAAAGCTAGACACAAATACATATTATGTATATACGTGATGTAAGCCACGTTGCAAAACGATTTACATTATTGCCTAAAGGATACAATAAAATTTGCCCTTCGTAAAAGAGACGCGTTATTACTTACGATAATCTTATCTTAAAATGATTGTTGATTTTTGTGTGCAATGTGCATGTAAAATGATTAGGACACAAAGGAATGTTGACATCACCGAGGGCATGCTTTATAATTCTTATGACTTGTGTCATGTCTTTCTGCTTCAAGTATGTGAACAATAATAACTCACCGGCAGACTCAACATGTCTGCGTAAATCGAAGTCATCTCTGTCGACCGGCAGGTACCTGGTAAGCGGCCGTTGTGACTCACTGTAGGGGGCGACACCACGCCGGCTGCGTCGGGGTGCGTTACTGAGTGACACTAGAACAAATACCAAAATGTTATTTTGACAGGAACGAGCTGTTCGGTGAATCTCCCATTTCCCCTCGGTTACCACCTATCGGTGGCATGTCGGACTCGAACCGACTAAAACCGCACGCCGTCTCGGGTACTAATAGCCGGGGAACCAGGTATACACTAGAAAGGAAGTCCCTGGTGCCCCACATACCTCGGGCCATCTACAGACGAGTAGACGACCTCCCCCCCCGTGTGGGAATATGTTGTGATACCTAGATATATTTTATTTTAAGTTATCACAGAATAGGTGACCCCAACCTCTGACCTGGATAATGTTGGGATATTGTACAGAATACAAATTTGAGAATTGTTATTGCACGATATAGAGATACAGTATTAATAGTAACTACGTATGTAGTTCGGCGCGTCTTTGTTAGATGGCGCTGTAATATGTTTTGCTTTATAATACCACTATAATAAGCGCGTTAAAAAACAAAGTATATCAGTATTAAGTTAATTACTCACGTATATTGTCCCTGCTGAAGTCTGAAGCATGGCTAAGTGGGCGGCTATCATCGCTTCGCTTGTCCTCCTCCGTCGAATCTGTCCGCGAGTTTCTCACTTGAAGCTGGGGACAAAGAGAAAGAGAAAGAATTAACTTAAATGTATGTAGAGACTATTAGAGAAGTTCTTTCAAGGAATGGGTCGTTTCAGTTTTCCCTGGTTGCCTAACGGTACAAGTTGTCTCAGTACCCTTTCCAATCACAGCACGGAGATGTATGCGACTACAGTCCTCTTTAAGCTACAATGGCCAGCAGCCTCCCCCCCCCCCTCCAAAACCTCCTTTCTAAGGAGTGGCCTATGTCCAGCAGTGGACTATGAAAACATGTTGATGATGATGAGTCGGTAACGGTAACAGTGTCGCGAGTCTAATGATTTTTTTCCATCTCAAAAAATACATTCTTTTATTTGTTGTTCAAAACACGCGCCTAAAGAAGTTTTCAATTCAAAAACCAAGCAATGTTGCCGCTATTATTACTCGTACTTGCTGATTAATTTATCTCAAGACAGATAGTTGCAGTTCATATGTAAATTCAAAAATTCTTTAAGCCATAACTTTTTCATTTCCTTCTTTATCTACACATAAATTACATCGGTATCCACTATAAGTTTTCGCAAACGCAATAAAATATTTATTTTACGATGTGACAAGTTAATCCCTGTGACATTGCATGCGGGTCGGAGACCTATTTATTACTTATATAAATATTTACTCGTAATAATAGTTGCCATTAAATATATATATATATATATATCCTTTAGCCGAGAGGCGGAGCTCTTAGTTCCGAGATAAATATTTTTTGTACCCATTTACACCAAGATTAGAATAAATACACGATATTACATGATGGAAAAAACAACATTGCGTTAAAAATTAATGATGAAAGAATTAATTAAACATATATATATATATATATATATATGAATGAATGTATATATCTTGATGGTGAAATTTCATCCTCATTATGTTCTTCAGGATAAAATAGTCGTACATACTCGTAGCCATACAACATTCGTTAGAACAAATAGTTCAACCTTTTTTCATGTATTTTAAGGCTCAAATTTTTCGTCTATAACTTAGTACTGTTCTTATCTAATTGATACCAGTTTATAATGATCATGGTAAATTACGTTTTGTGAAATTTCCAAATATCTTTCAGTTCATACTATGTACGAAGATCAATTACATTTCCAGGAGGGTTCGCAATGAATTGAAAGAAAGTGAAAGAGTGATCAAGTAGAATGGAAGAAGAAACCTCGTCGCACCAACCCCAAATTAATTTGATGAAAGGGTAGGAAGTTGATGGAAACTTTGAACTTGATGATACCATGCATCCATACCAGTCTAAACATATCTTGTCATATAAGGATCAATGTTTCAATTTTTCCAAAGAGTCACCTAAATACTTACAAAAATAGATTTCTGGTTGCACCCGAGACCCCAATGCGAACTCTTCACCAGCGTCAACCACACAGACATAATGTTTATATATTGTATTATATAGTTCACATTAATTGTCACTAGCACTATTTAGTACCACATTATTGTAAATATTTTAAACAAATACATAAATGAATTTTAGTCTATTTTGCACTGTAACACGAAAGGCATCATTTTTTATGTATATTGGTTGTATACCAATTTAGTTATTATGTCATTGATTTATTGTTTATATATAGATAGTATAAAAATACATTGAAAGAAATTTTGCGTAACTCCGACTTTCAATTTTTCGTGTAAAACAACAGTTGAAAGTAATAAAGTGTGATTAAAGTAAATTGTTCATAAAAGAAGGATGTGTAATGCCTGCTTATATTATAAAGACAAAAGTATCACTATCTGTCTGTCTGTTACGCTTTCACGGCTAAACCGCTGTACAGATTTTAATGAAAATTGGCATGGAGATACTTTGATAAAGAAGAATAGACATAGGCTACTTTTTACATATCTTACTAGCCGAGCGGTTTTAATTTAAGAAGAAATCAACTTTGCCTGAAGCATAATAAAACACTTACAGGAACTATTTTGTAACTACAAACCCTGCATCGCAATAAAAAACTTCGAAAGCTGATTTAAATACTACATACTATAAAGTAAGTTCTCCGCCGCGCTGTCAGCCTCAACGCGATTTTTTTCAAAAAGAACCAAACGAATTTTCATGCAGTTTTCATTTATGATAGATTATTTTTTTGTGTACGTTTGATTAACTATGACAACAACGGCTAAAGATGGCGTAAAAGCCCGGAAAGGTTTTTCTGTACATTCAATACATAAGGAATTATTTTCCGCTTAATAAGATTGAATGCAGTAAAGCACCGCAGTATAGATAGATAGACCATATAGATGATATTTATTTGTATATTACTTGATTGTTAAGATAAAAGTATCATAGCGATGTGTGTCAAACAGTTAACGTAGAAAAGGCGGCCTTAGTGCTGAATACAATGTCTGCCGAGCAATATTAAAATGGATCAAAATGAGACAACGTATAGTTAAACATTTTAATTTGTAAAACGTTTATTCTTTTCTGTTGATAGATTAATATTAATTAATTCATATTTTTTGGACTTCTAACACACACCGCCATCTAGTTTCAAACTAAGTAGAACTTGTACTATGAAAGCTAGATTGACTGATAGAATACTTATATACCTTTTTTTTTGTAAATACATACATGTTATACATAGAAAACACCCAAACTCCAAAAGAAGTATTTGCAGATCATATCAACATTTGGTCCGACCCGGGAATCGAACCCGAGACCTCAACACAGCAGTTGCATACGCTACCACTGCACCACCGAGGCAGTCAAGAGGACTGAGTGACTGCACGGATGGCGTAGTCGTTTAAGCGGTCGCCACGCCACTTACTACTACGCTGAGTGTTGTGGGTTTGATCCCCACATGAGACGACACTGTGTGATCCACAAATTGTTGTTCTGAGTCTGGGTGTTCTTTGTGTCCGTTTCATGCATGATTGTAAAGTCCCCCGCGACACAGGATATATTCCTAATGCGGGAGTTGTCTTTTTTAATTACAAAAAAAAATGGTGAGAGACATCTAACATTCAAGACTCAACAGGTACGTACCGGCCTTTGAGGTGGGAATACCCTCTTTTCTTGAAGGCTTGACGGTCCGAAAATACATTACCCCCCCCTCCCCCAGTATTTTAATGACCATGTTTTAAGATTAATACCCATCAATGCAAAGTGTGCGAAGCGGGACGGTTTGCTAGTATAGATGTTTAAAACATCATAAAAAGGCCTGTTGGTCTGGGAGTTAGTAATGAGTTCGTGGGTTCGATTCTCACCCACTCAAATATTGTGTAAAGAGCACGATCATTTGCTCTATGTCTGGGTGTAATTTATTTTTACTACTCGTATGTATGTATTTAGAAATGTATAAGTATGTTTATCAGTAGTCGGGTTACGATAGCACAGGCTGAGCCTTGTCTGGGATCAGGCGGCCGTGTGTGAGATATGTGAGGTTATTATTACACAGGCCCAACATATTTTTTACCAGAAACCAGATTATACTTTCCCGAAGGTTTTTGGTGCGCTGGATCCAAATTTGGCTGCAGAATTACTCTATCACGTCAGGTTTTTGACATATTCTACCCTAAAAGTGCAAAAAACGCATTTTTTGAGGTTATGTAACCCTCAAAATGTTATTACACAGTGCATCTTAAAGTTCAAGTCTTTAGCTTTCAAATGAGGGGAAAGAAACTTTGTCAAATTTTGTTGGCCTGTGTTATTATACGATCCATTTCTCAATCGTAGTCTTCTCATACGCGATGAAGACTCGTCGGAGACACACCCCATACTCATACATATCTCGTCTAATATTAGACCAGAATATGACTGGTATAAATTAGTTTGCTGCTATTTTCATACAATTTTAAATAGACGATAGCAAATGTGACGCAATAAGCTCGATATTTTTGGAAAGTGTATGAGAGTACATCTACGCGTCTGATATGTATCTCATAATTCACTGGAGGGTACCAGCAGTAGTGGTTCACGTCAAACAGATGTATGGTTCTGTAAACATGGAACGGAAACTTCTTACTAGTTAAATCTGCAGCATTTATAGGTGCATTCACATTTAGTTACTAACTAGCTTGTGCCCGCGACTTGGTTCGCGTGGAATTTGAAAAGCGCTGCCTTAGTGGGTGCGATTCCCGGACCGGGCAAAATTCAATAGCCTAAGTTACTCCTTTTATAGACAGCTACCTGGTAGTAAAATATTAACAAAATCGGTCCAGCCATAGGTATCGAAAACCTATTATTTTAACATTACAAACAAACACTTCAATTTTATTTATTTGTATAGAGTATAGATAATATCTCTATGCATCAGCTATTTAATAATAATAATAACCTCATCTCACAAACGGCCGTCTGATCCCATATTTAACAGTGACTGTACTATGGTAACCAGACTGCTGATAAACATACTTTATATATTTCTAAATACATACATACTATAGATAAATTACACCCAGACACAGAACAAGCGATCGTGCTCATCACACAATTATTTGTCCTGGGTGGGGATCGAACCCACGACCTCCTGCTTAGCAGGCAGGATAACTAACCACTAGACTAACACAATAAATTCTGAAATTTTAAAAAGAAGTTACATAAGGCAAGTTACCTTTGCTTATGAGCCGGGTTAAGGGTTTTACCGTAATCTATACTTTTATGTAAATTCCTACATTAAGAATATATCCTGTGACGTGGGGGACTTTACAAACATACTTGAAACGGACACAAAGAACACCCAGACTCAGAACAACAATTTGTGAATCACACAAAGTGACGTCCCATGTAAGGATCGAACCCAGAACACTGCGTAGTAGTAAGCGGATTGGCCACCGTTTAAACCACTACGCCATCCGTGCTGTACCTACTTATATTTTAAATTTGAAAGTGAGTTTATTTGTTTGTTACGCTTTCACGTTTATACTATTAAGACGGTTTAAAAAAAAAAATACCATTGAAAAGCTACATTATCAGCGAGTACCGTAAGGTTGTTTTTACAGTGATAACCGACATACACCCAGGCGGAGTCGCGAGCAACCGCTACTATCGTATATAGCATATTCATAAACAAATTTATTTTCGCATCAACAGCCATTACTAGTCCACTGCAGAACATAGGCCTCTCCTTAGGAAGGAGGTTTTGGCCTACTATACCACGCTGGCCAGACGGGTTGGTATAGGGTTTGTTTCAATTTTTCCTTATCTCTGCAGTGCTGTTGTCCTGCATAGTTTGCTCACACTGACACTCTGTATTCTTAATCCGTCACCACACGGACAATTTTCGCAATTCCGCTATTTCCGTGATATTTTCAGATTGAATATAGGAATATCGAAAGAAAGCCATATTTATTCCTTTGTTCATTAAACTTTCTACTCTATCTATTTCTGACTAATGAACAATATATAACAAAACCATGGCCTACATAAGCTGTTTTGTGATTAAAAGGTCACTGTTCTGCGAAATAACAAAGGAGTTACTTCCTGATACACTTTACGGTTAGTTTACGATTCTGTTGTGGTATTGTGTTTATTGTTTAAGAATTATATGGTTTTTGTTCTACTTGTGGTACATAGTTATTTGGTTTAGCGAATTTCTTTGTTGATCGCTTTAATATGAATTATTTTTTAACATTTTTTTGCCTTTTAGTTTTCTGCTTTTCCTCTTTACTTTCACACAAAAATTCATATTATTTCGGGGCTAGGATTTAAAACGCAACAGACATACAGACACGCGTTTAATTCTATAATACTATGCATATAGAAATCTAGATTAATATATATTCTTGTATATGCACTATGGTATATTACGCATAACCAACGCAACCTGAAGATACCAATGGTAAAGCAGGAGATAATAGAAAAACACCTAAACACACTTGTCTGTAATCTAATGCATGGAACCACCAATACATTCCACCGAAAAAGTTCTGTACCTAGTTCTCTCTAGGTCTGCCTAAAGTAGGCAGATTGCAGGAGGTTCGGATGTCTTAATAACAGCTGTACCGGATCCCTCGTATTTCAGGCGCAGAGTGGCCTTGGCCCTTTTGGCTCTAGGGTAAATACGCTCCTACATACTCCTGGCACCTAAATCGTCACGATGCCGTCCCCAAGGAACCGGAGATCCAAAGAAATTTTCCAATTCGTCAACAAAATAAAAAACTGTTCGAACAAACCCATACACGCACCTATTTTACGCATACCACACGAAAAAAAGGCGGTTTACAGGAATACACAAATATTTTAAAATATTGTGTGTTGTAAAAATACGTCATTTATTGCATATGTTGGAATCCTATGAAGGTATTGCCTGTTTGTGCTTGTGCGTGCCCTGGTTTGTAATTTCTTGATGTCTTTCCCGTATACGTGACAGCAAACAACTTATAATGAGATTGATTGCTGTATGACTATGAACATATATATAAGCTTGCTTAATAGC